AGGTGACGTGGAAGAATGAGGAGGTCTGCCTTGGCTTCACAGAAGCATCCTGGGTTGTATTCTTCCAATAAAGACACACACTATTTGGACACTAAATAAACATTGGGTATGCAGGACTATGCTTCACTTCTACATCAAACATGCACACTCTCTTGTAAACTCGTGTGCAAGTACTGGAAGGATTGCTCCAGGCAATGTCAGAGCCTTTTTATTTTTTGAGATGGCCTCTTGCTCTGTGTTACCCAGGCTAGAGTGCAGTGGCACAATCATGGCTCACTGCAACCTCCACCTCCTGGGTTCAAGTGATTCTCCTGCCTCAGCCTCCCAAGTAGCTGGGATTACGGGTGCCCACCACCACAGCCAGCTAATTTTTTTATTTTTAGTAGAGATGGGGCTTCACCATCTTGGCCAAACTGGGTTTGAACTCTTGACCTCGTAATCTACCCGCCTCAGCCTCCCAAAGTGCTGGGACTACAGGTGTGAGTCACCGCACCCAGCCAGAGTCTTCTCTTTTTTTCTTAATCTGGGAAGAAAGTAGCCAAGGCACCCTCCAAAAATGCAAAAATTATTTAGCCCCTCTTTTCCAGAAATTCTAAGCTGTGTCAACATCGTCTACAAGCCTCCCTAGAATGAGGAAGCAAACAGGGAAAAAGGAGCCCCAGACCCTCCAGAGCCCCTGTGATTCCCTGGGTCTCCTACTAAGACACTGGGCAGGACACAGTTGTGCATTCAAAGTAAACACAGCTGGACTAAGCAGAAGAAGAAGAAAATCCATCCTTCTGTTTTCATCTCTAAAAGCTAGAAAACTACACTCTTGCCTATCGAATATGGCCTCGCTCCCTCTGCTGCCAGTCTGGCTCCGGTAGTGTTTACTGGCAGGCTTGTTCAGAGAAAGGATGGACTGAGTCTGTTTGAGGGAGAGGAAGGAAAGGAGGGAGAGAAGAGGGCAGGGCATAGGCCTCTGACAGCCTAACTGCCAGGTCTCTGTCTGGTACTCAAAGCTTTCTCTTTAGTTCAGAGCCTTCAATGTGCATTTCACAAAAGAGAAAACAAAAATGCCAAGAAATACAGGGAAAGGGCTGGGTGTGGTGGCTCAAGTCTGTAATCCCAGTACTTTGGGAGGCAGAGGTGAGTGGGTCACAAGGTCCGGAGTTCAAGAGCCAGCCTGGCCAACATGGTGAAAGCCTATCCCTACTGAAAACACAAAAATGAGCTGGGTGTGGTGGTGGGCACCTGTAATCTCAGCTATTTGGGCGGCTGAGGCTGGCGAATTGCTTAAACCAGAGAGGGGAAGGTTGCAATGAGCTGAGATTGCACAACTGCACTCCAGCCTGGGCAACAGGGGGAGACTGCATCTCAAAAAAAAAAAAAAAGAAATACAGGGAAAGGTTGTCAACCTCACCAGTCATCAAAGAAATGCAAACTCCACTCCTAGAACAGCTGACACAAAAAAGACTGACCATAGCAACTGAACAAATGGAAGCTTCATTCGTGCCTGGTGGGAATATTGATTGGTTTAATCCTTTGGGAAACTGTGAGGCAGTATCCACTAACGCAGAATAGAAGCAGATCCTATGAGCCAGCAATGCCACCCTCCAGGCAGACAGCCAATGAGAATGTACACCAAGAAATACATGCAAGAATTTCACAGCTGCACTACTCATAATGGGCCAAAACTGGAGCTGGCCACATGCAAATGTCCATCCAGAATGAATGAATCAATTCTGGTATCTTCACACAAAGGAATACTATACAGCAATGCAAAAAAGGGTAAACTACACTTCTGCATACCACCACAGATGAATCCTGGACATTGTGCTGAGTTAAAGCAGCCAGATGCCAAAGAATGCTTACAAAATACTACGTTTACATAAAATTCAGAAAGTGACATTAACTAATAATGCTAGAAATGAGGAGAGAGACTGGTGTGTCTCTGGAGAGTAGAGTAGTGATGCTGACTGAGGGAGGTGTTCTATTTCTTGATCTGGACTGAGGTTACCTGGGAGGGTTCACTGTGACAAGTCACTGAGCTCTACAGTTTACTGCAAGTATGTTATATAATATACTTTAATTAAAACGCTGCTTTTATGTGTCTTGAGATGGAGTCTTGCTATCTCCAGAACCCAGGCTGGAGTTCAGTGGTGCGATCTTGGCTCACTGCAGCCTCCCAGGCTCAAGCGATTCCCCTGCATCAGCCGGCCAAGTAGCTGGGATTACAGGCGCCTGCCACCGCGCCCAGCTAATTTTTATTTTTAGTAGACATGGGGTTTCACCATGTAGCCTCGAACTCAACCTCGGGTGATCTACCTGAAGCCACCTCTCAAAGTGCTGGCATTATAGGCATGAGTCACTGTGCCCAGCCAGCACTGCTATTTTGTTATCAAGAAAGCCGTGTACAAAATACATGTCCCACCACTCTGGGTGTGAGTTCCGCTTCCATCACTAACTAGCGGAAGCCCTGGAGTAGATCACACTGTCTTTCTGGAGTAGATCACATTGTCTTTCTGGATCTCCTCTTGCGTATACATAAAATGGGGACATGAATGCCTGTCCTCATAGTAAAGCTGTAAGGATGAGGGGAAAAAGGCCTCAGTCCCTGGGCATGCAGTAGGTGCTCAGGTCAGGGTAGCAGCCACCATTTTTGCTATGAACCAGCCTCCCTGAGTTACATCTTTATCCTCAGTTTCCAGATCCTGGCTGGAGATAAGTCTGAGAGGCATGACAGAAGGTAGGTCATCCCTTAAGCACTGCTAATGTGTTCACTGCAACTTTCAAGTGTAGAGATGGTTTTTTAAACCATAAAGAATACAGTTACTGGCCAAAGCACTTTTAACATTCGGACCAATTTTTGGAAGCCAAAAATTAGAACTGAGGGTCTGCCAGGCAGGAGGATAGTTGGACTCAGTGGGAAAAGGCCTGGAACTGGAATGTCCTGTAATAAGTCCAGGACATAAGGAGGCTGCTCCCAACTTGGGCTAGCAAGTTCCAATGTCTGGTAGCAGGCAGGGGATCAAGGCCGCCTCCTTCCTCCAGAGCACCCAGATAAAGGCCGCTGACCCTTGGGATTACCTGAGGAGCAAGTTGCAAACACCCATACCAGGCTCCTGCCTGAGACTGTGGGAAGCAACGGGCCTGGCATGAAGCTCATGCATGTGTGTATTTAGCCATTGTTCCAGTTTATTGTGTAGCACACTGATCCAAAAGAGTGTTCCTCTGAAAAGTGAACACTTACACACAGTTGGTGGAAATGCAAATGAGTTCAGCCACTGTGGAAAGCAGTTTGGAGATCTCTCACAACTTAAAAAAGAACTACCATTAAACCCAGCAATCCCACTACGGGGTCAAAGGAAAATAAATCATTCTACTGAAAAGACACACACACATGTATGTTAACTGCAGCATCATTCACAATAGGAAAGACATGGTATCAACTTAGATGCTCATCAACAGTGGACTGGATAAAAGAAAATGTGGTACATATGCACAATGGAATACTATGCAGCCATAAAAAAGAAAGAGATCTTTGTGGCAACATGGGTGCAGCTGGAGGCCATTATCCTAAGTGAACTAGTGCAGAAACAAAACCAACTACCGCATGTTCTCACTTGTAAGTGGGCACTAAGCAATGGGTACCCATTGGGCATAAAGATGGGAAAAAGAGACACTGGGGACTACTAGACAGAGGAGGAAGGGGAGGGGACAAGGGCTGAAAAACTACCTATTGGGCACTATCTCATTTGCACCCCAAACCTCAGCATTGCACAATATACCCATGGAACAAACCTGCACATATACTTCCTAAATCTAAAAGTTGAAATTATTATTATTATTATTTGAGACGAAATCTCACTCTGTTGCCAGGCTGGAGTTCAGTGGTGCCATCTTGGCTCACTGCAACCTCTACCTCCTGGGTTCAAGCGATTCTACTTCCTCAGCCTCCCGAGTAGCTGGGACTACAGGCGTGCGCCAACCATGCCTAACTAATTTTTGTATTTTTGGTAGAGACGGGGTTTCTACATGTTGGCAAGGATGGTTTTGATCTCTTGACCTCATGATCTACCCACCTTAGCCTCCCAGAGTCCTGGGATTAGAGGCATGAGCTACGGTGCCCGACCTATTATTATTTTGTAAAGAATGTTTTTCCAAACTGGTCTGACGTTCAACATGATCTCAGGTGCTTGTTAAAGATGCAGATTAAGAAGGGAAGCCCAGGTGTGGTGGCTCATGCTTGTAATCCCAACACTTTGGGAGGCTGAGACAGGTAGATTGCTTGAGCCCAGGAGTTTGAGACCAGCGTGAGTAACATGGTGAAACCCTGTCTTCACAAAAAATTTTTAAAAATTATCCAGGTACAGTGATGCCTGCCTGTAATCCCAGCTACTTGGGAAGTTGAGGTAGGAGTATTGCTTAAGCCGGGGCTGTCAAGGCTGCAGTAGGCAGAGATCACATCACTGCACTCCAGCCTGGGTGACAGAGTGAGACCTTGTTTCCAATAAACAAATAAATAAAGGGCAGGATAGGGCTGAAGAATCTTTTTTTTTTTTTTTTTAGATGGAATTTTCACTCTTGTTGCTTAGGCTGGAGTGCAGTGCTCACTGCCACCCCTGTCTCCCAGGTTCAAGCGACTCCTACCTTAGTCTCCCGAGGAGCTGGGATTACAGGGGCATACCACCACGCCCCACTAATTTTTGTATTTTTAGTATGTTTCACTATGTTTGCCAGGCTGGTCTTCAACTCCTGACCTCAGGTGATCCACCCACCTTGGCCTCCCAAAGTTCTGGGATTACAGGCATGAGCCACTGCATCTGGCCCAGGACTCTGTACTCTTAAAAGTTGCCCCAGGTAAGTTTTAGATCAGGTAAATACAGTGAGACCCTGGACTAGAAGTTCACGAGAGCTAAAATACAAGGGAGGAAAAAATAAGAGAGAAAATGAGAGCATTGTGTTCGCCTGTCATGGAATCCACGCAGAGCATGGTTTGGTGGGGGAGGCTCCGCTACCTTTGTCTATGTGGTACAGGTAGGTCTCCTGGCTCATGGCGGAGAGGAGATGCAAGACGCAGGTGTAGATGCGGATCTTCTCGTCGCTGTTGTCCTCCCAGGTGTAGTCCTGGATCACGTTGAGAAGCTCTCGAACAAGAAACAGGACCCCATGTTCAGGATGATCCTAGCAGAGAACAAAAAAAAGATAAATAATCCCAAAGATGAAGCAGGGAAAAAGAAAATCAACACAGAAACCCAGATCCTCCCTCAGCAGCTGTAGAGAGATTAACGTTGTCAGTAACGAACAAAGGCAAGACCCACTCACAAGCCTGGTTACACAATACGGGGAAAATAACAAAACGTGATTCCCACAAATCAACATGCTCCTGTCTGGGCAAACGAGCTTTGAGAATCCCTTTTTGGATCCTAAGAAGGAGAAGGCAAAGTTACCTGTCAGCTTAAAGTTACCTGTCAACTTAATGGCCTGTTTCCAAAATTACGCTGTTGTTTTTCTGTGGGTGGTAGCAGTAAAAAAAAAAAAAAAAAAAAAAATTAAGCCCTGTTCCAACCACAAAAGCAAGATTGTGGGCATAGTAGCAGATGGAACGGCAGAAGCCACCTACGCTGGGTGAGCCCCTGGATGGTCCCTGTCACCACTCAAGGCAGTGGCTTTAAATAGAGCCTCGCTCTTTGGGACGCTCAACAACAGTAACAGCCAAATGGAGGATGCTGTCTTGGGAAAAAGAAATCCTGAGAGACTCACAGTTTATAGCCAAGTGTTTCTCAGATGCTAAGCTGCATCTATAAAAAGTTCTGGGGTGTAAAAAAGTGAGCAGCTTCAATTCCATTCCAAAAAGGTGTATGTAAGTCTGGGCATGCCCTGCTGAAAGCTCTCCAGACTTCTCATTCCATGCAGAGGCTCTGTGCAGCCAGCCCCCTCCATGGCCTCGATGGCCTGCCCCATGCGAGTCTCCTTCCCTAACCCCAGCCACATCATGGCAGGGGAAAAGGCATGATTGGAACCTGCAGTGGCAGGAGGCCATTTAGCCCAAGATGTGGTCCTGGGTGCAGGAACAAAGCCATTGCCAAAACATGGCCCAGCGAGCATGCAGGGAGAAATGTCCCAGCCTCGCTTTCCTCCTGCCCTGCCTCATGCTGCTGCCTCTTACTGACTGAACAAACTGGGAACCAGAGGAAGGACAGAGGAGACGGTCTCCAGAGGCCAGTCTCCCCCACACAGAGCAGGACAAAGGGCACAGAATGGCACCAGGGGCTGGTACACTTGTCTAGGTTCTGGCCTCCAACCAGGCACGTTCTCTCTGACTAGAGTCTGTGCCCCAGGGCTTGGCTCTTGGTAGTCTGCAGTTCTCATCTTACACATTCGCTCCTTAGTGAGGCCTTCCCTGATGGTCCACCTGCAGCCCTCTTACTCTCTCTTCATCACAAATCATCCCCTTTTTTTGGTTCTGAGACAAGGTCTCACTCTGTCATCCAGCTGCGGTACAGTGGCACGATCACATCTCACTGCAGCCTTGACTTTCTGGGCTCTATCAATCCTCCTCTCACCTCAGCCTCCCAAGGAGCTAGGACTATAGGTACATACCACCACGCTTGGCTAATTTATGTATTTTTTGTAGCGATGAGGTCTTGCCATTTTGCCCACGCTGGTCTCGAGCTCCTGGGCTCAAGTGATCCACCTGCCTCGGCCTCCAGAAGTGCTGGGATTAAAGGCGTGAGCCATGGCGCCCAGCCTCTGTCTTGTTTTTTGAAGAGCACTTCTCAAGATCTTATGTATTCCTTCAGTGACCTGCCCAACAATATCTCATGGTTCTGTTTCATGCTAGCCTATAATCTCCAGGAGGACAGACACTTCATCTATTGCATTTGCCAATGTTATTCTGTTAATGGCGCCCCCAGGAGCGCAGTGTGGATGGTGTCCCTGATGACATTCAATCCAGCCCTGTCTCTGGCTCCTGGGACAGTACTGGACACTGACATACATTGGGTGAATAATGCTGAATGGATTATAGTTTTTGGTACCTTCTATGTGTCAAGCACTGAAGTGGCTACGGAAGCAACAACAGCTAACATTTATAGCAGCTACCATAGTTTTTCTGTTTCAGGGAGATGCTATGATGAAGCCCCATTTCCCAGATGGGGAATGAGCAGCCACTGAGAGGTTAAGTGGCCCAAGGTCGCACAGTTGCTTCATGGGGAACCCAAGGATCAAGCCTTAGCAGTTTGGCTCCAGAGTGGACATTGCTAACTACTGGTACCATATTCACACTGTCTCTGTATAGATAAACCAGGTGTCTCTGAACTTCTAGAACTTGTGAACTGGGGTGAGGCATACATGTAGTCAGCTACTTAGAATACAAGCGTGGAGTATGAGAACTGCTGTTACATGCAATGTGAATGTGTGTACATATTGCAGTCATACTTCCAAGTGGGTGAGGACAACTGTGGAGGGGTGTGGGATGTTCTGTACAAGCTGTTAATATCTGTTAAGAACTGCTCTTAGCCTGGGCTGGGTAGCAGTGGCTCATGCCTGTAACCCCAGCAGGAGGGGTTCGGGAGGCCAAGGTGGGCGGATCACTGAGGTCAGGCATTCGAGACCAGCCTGGCCAACACTGGTGAAACCCCATCTCTGCTCCAGAGATCTAGGGTGGCACCGCTGCACTCTAGCCGGGGTGACGGAGTAAGACTGTCTTACAAAAAGCAAAAAAAGAACTGCTGTTATAATACTGGCAAGAATGAGAACACAAGATGTTCAAAAGTCTGACATCCACAAACTACACACATCAAAATTGCCCATGCCATGATCTGCCTTCCATTCAGAGCAGCTGGAAATTTCCCCGTCTTCTTTTGCTAATAGCTGGCTTTTTTTTTTTTTTTTTTTTTTTTTTTTTTTTGAGACGGAGTTTCGCTCTTGTTACCCAGGCTGGAGTGCAATGGCGCGATCTCGGCTAACCGCAACCTCCGCCTCCTGGGTTCAAGCAATTCTCCTGCCTCAGCCTCCTGAGTAGCTGGGATTACAGGCAAGCGCCACCATGCCCAGCTACTTTTTTTTTAGTAGAGATGGGGTTTAGTGTTTTTAGTAGAGACGGGGTTTCACCATGTTGACCAGGATGGTCTCGATCTCTCGACCTCGTGATCCACCTGCCTTGGCCTCCCAAAGTGCTGGGATTACAGGCTTGAGCCACCGCGCCCGGCCCTACTAATAGCTGTTTTTAACTAGGCTATTTGATTCTGCTATGTGGCTGTTCAAAAATATATTTTATTGGCCAGACACAGTGGCTCATGCCTGTAATCCTAGTATTTTGGGAGGCCGAGGCGGGCAGATCACCTGAGGTCATGAGTTCAAGACCAGCCTGGCCAACATGGTAAAATCCCATCTCTACTAAAATACGAAAAAATTAGTCACGCACAATGGCGGGTACCTATAATCACAGCTACTCAAGAGGGAGGCTGAGATGGGAGAATTGTTTGAACCTGGGAGACGGTGGTTGCAGTGAGCTTAGATCCTGTCATTGTATTCCAGCCTGGGCAGCTAAGCAACATTCCATCCAGCTCTCTCTCTCTATATATATTTTTTATTTATTAAGTATTTTTATTTAAGGATCTGCCTTGGCAATAGACAGCAATCTGAATGTTCCAGCAAATTCCTTTCAACACAAATGCACAAGTCTTGTGGAAGACCATGTAACACACCCTCAAAAAGATGGTACAAGGGCCAGTGGAGACATAAAGGTTTGTAGTGAGCCATTTCCATGAGCTTTTGCTCACAACCGAAGAGGTGGGACACTATTTCTGACCTTCTGTACACGGAAAAAATTTCCCATGTGACATCCATGCTTCAGTGGTTGGAACTTTTTTTTTTTTTTAAATTGTACTGAGTTGGGAGTGGTGGCTCACACCTGTAATCTTAGCATCTTGGGAGGCCAAGGCCAGCAGGTTGCTTGAGGTCAGGAGTTTGAGACCAGCCTGGCCAACATGGTGAAACCCCATCTCTACTAAAAGGACAAAAATTAGCCGGACATGGTGTCGCACACCTGTAATCCCAGCTACTCAGGAGGCTGAGGCAGGAGAATTGCTTCAACTGGGAAGGTAGAGGTTGCAGTGAGCCAAGACTGTACCACTGCACTACAGCCTGGGCAACCCAGCAAGACTCTTCTCAAAAAAAAAAAATTGTACTGACGGTTCAGTGCCAACAGCTGAAGTAAGGCAGATATAGCCTTTTTTTTTTTTTTTTTCTTTTTAAAGACAAAAAAAATAGTCCTGGATTCAGACGGTGCTTCCAGTGGGAAAAGGTGTCCCCAGGTGTCCCTGGCAGGGCAGCCTCCCAAGTGGAGCAAACAAATGCTGACAAAGTGGCTCCCAGGCAGCGCCTAGTGGAAGCTCAGACCTCTCTCCCTGCTGGTCTGACACCCACCACATCAGAAATATCCCTTTGGGTTTCTGGTTTGCAGGAATCCTTCTATTAAACTCCTTGGGAGAAAAAGTATTAGGTTGGTACAGAAGTAATTATTTTCAATGGCAAAACCCACAATTACTTTTGGACCAATCTAATAATACCCTAGAAGTAACTAACTTTTCCCAGGAGAACTAAGATGAGAGGCAGGGAGGATGGCGGCTGGGCAGACATCCTGGCCTTGGACCCTGGCTCGTCGCTTACCAGCTGCTGACCCTTCATCTTTCTCTGCCCCAGTTTCCACTTCTATGAAATGAGGATGATAATAACAGGCTTGTTTTGAATGACTATTAGTGAAATGTTGGCTGGCCCATGGTGATGAGCTTGGTTAAGTAATACTAAACCCCTTTAGAAAAGGAATCAGAACACAGGTGAGCTCTTATGTTCTTCCAAAAGGAAGGACAGGGAAAGAAAAAAGGGCACTGGGAAGGAAAAACAGAAGGAGTGAAAGGGCAGGGGAGGATGAGGGGACATAGATCATCACCTGATGGAAGGCTGGCTGTCTCACCAGCTCCTCAGGTGTCCCTTGTGCCCTCCCGACGTGCTAGTCACTGTGGTTCTCTTCCAGGCCCTCTGGGGCACAGTGCTGCCTCCACCCTTAGGATTTCACCCATGTTGTACCCTTGACCCAGAATGCCCTCTCCTCTCCCCATCTGCACCTAGCTGACTACTTACTAGTCTTCCTTCAGGTCACAGCTCAAATGGTACTGTCT